TTCCCCTCAAGAGGGAGACTTGATCGGAGGCTGCCATATCTGCATCGGATTGCTGCAAGTTGCTACTTTGGTCTTCAGGCATCGACGGGGGATCCGGCTTTGCAACAGGGGTGTAGGAAGGCCCTCTTAGTCATGCTAGGACACTTCGTGTAGTGGTAGCTAGGGGTCGGGAGGACTTATATGAGAGGGGAGTGACTCGTAATCCATCTTTGGAGGCCGGGCCTCATAGGTAAGTGCCGTGTGACCTGGGAAAGCCCGTGGGAGGTTGCTTGGTGCTTCATGGCCTGTTGGGGGTGTGCTGGGTTCTCTTCCCCTTCTCTGCGGTCTTGGTTGTGTGTGTGAGCTTGTGGATTGCTTTCTCACCTGATGGATGGATGGATGATGTATCTACTCTAAATGACATATCTTTCTACGGTGCATTGTCTTTTCATTTCTGAACGGCTGTAGAAGTGAGTTCTTGCTGAAAGTTGTCTTTTCCTTTTCAKTACAGTRGAGGCARTTTGGGACCGACTTGGCACCCCTATCACGTTGGKCCTGGTCCACGGCCTACTTGGGACCCCTCGGGACCCAGTGGGACCAGGCCCAACGGGACAGGACCTTTTGGGCCTAGATCTGTTGCCGCCAGTGCATTTCTTTGCTGTGCTGGAATTGGGGGACATACGGACAGCAAGGGCATTCCTTTCAAGGGGATCTTGACTGGCCTTACCGCATGTTAGCACATACTGCCCCGCGTCTGACTCGGTGACCATCTGCACCCCTCGAAATCTGCAGATTAGTCTTCTTCATCTGATTTACTGTGATGTATGTCCCCTGTCAGGTTAGACAAGAGGGGATCTCCAACTGATCTGATCGGGCCCGTTCTATAAATCAGACCTCTCTGTTGTTTCTATTATTTATTTATTTATTTATTTTTATTTATTCTTCTGCTGCGTGCCACACTCTAAGTCCAAATGATTCGCCACTCCGGCCAGGAGTTCTACCTTCTTCTCTGAGTGGTTTTCAMTTTGTTTCTTTCATCTGAACTATCTATGTCCAGTATTGAGACGCGTGCGCAGACAGCGAAGAGAGAAGAAAGGGAGAGAGAAGGTGTTCTGTTTGAGAGTGTGAGGAAGGGCAAGAGGAGTGTTCGTCCAAACGTAAGGAGAGAGCGGACCCCTCTTGAGAGTTCTACTGACGCCCCTCCCTCCAGCATGGCGGTCATCACATCTGCCCAATGGCAGGCCATGCTGGACGCAGCAAACGAGAGCCAGAAACCATTCTTTCAAAAACTGTATGATGATGCCGTTCAGAGGGAAAGGGAGGCAGCGGCAGCAGCTAAAGCCGCCGACATTGCTGATCAGGTGGCTCTCCTTCGGATCCCGGAAGCCGATGCTGACCGGTTCCAGGAGGAACTAGCTGCTGCTGTAGCAGCCTTGGTCCGACTGCGGACCTTGGAAAACCTTGAGTCTCATATGACAGCACTTGAGTAGCGGAACGAAGAGCTGCAGGCTAAGGTAATTAGCCTTGAACAGTCCCAGTTGTCTGCCTCCGCCCTCCTAACCCTCGATCTGCTATAATCCTGACCTCTCAAGCCAACACAGCCCTCGTGCCAAGGGCAAGCGGAACCGTGGCAAGCGCAGGAACCGGCGCCAGCTCCTCGAGCGGCAGCACCGGCAGTTCTGCGCTGGTCATGGTCCCGAATGCAGGGACATCAGCCCAAAACGCCGCAGTCCCTACTGGCGTTCAGTACAGCGGTCCCATGGTGGATAAGCGGGTGGCCACGCTGCTGTCCAAGTACGACGGGAAGGCAGACATCACCTCTTGGATTAGTTCCATGAGGTCGTACTTCGAGGTCATGCGGACACCGCAAGAGGACCGAAGTATGATCATGGGGACTAATACTGAGCCCGCCGTACGAAACCACATTGAGCTCCAAGCTGTCGCAAGAGGCTATGAACGCATAGACCTGACTGATTGGCTGAAGGTCACCCCTGTCCGCGCCCTTGAGGATCTTCTCCTTGACCGGTACCGAGATAAACATGTTGCGCTCAAGGCTAGGCTGAAGCTTGAGGCCCTCAAGGGCCAAACATGGAGGTCATCCATGCAGGCTTTGGAACAGCACTTGACTGGTCTGTTCACCACTCCGGATCTGGGAATGACTGACGTATCTTGTATGGATGTAGTCATGGGAGTGGCCCCTAAAGAGTACCTCTCCCTGCTCGCACTCAAGGACCATGCCACCTGGCGAGAGCTCATGAAGGACCTAGTCGACCTAGAGGCCAAGGACCTCGCCAGGCGCAAGAAGGCGCCCGCTGCAGGTGGGAAACCACAACGCAAGCGGTTTGGAAGCAGCAACCAGCTTGCACTGCATGATCATCGGGAGGCTGAAGATCAGTCCTATGCGGATGATCTGTCTCTAGATGACGATCTAGAGCCGGACTCCGATACGGGCTGTTCCACATCAGCCATTGAGTGTGACAGAAATGATGACGAGAAACTTAATGCATTCAGAAAGACTGCTTCAAATAAGGGGCCTAACCGTGGTTCAGGTAAGGGAACTGTCTTACACCTTCCCAAAAATGCTAAGATCCCTGAGAAACCGGAGGACGCTTCCACCAAGCCTTGGGAAGCTCTCCGCATCACTCAAAAGGAATGGGAAAGAAGATCCAAACTGCGCGTATGCTTGCATTGTCAAAAGCCTGGGCATGCTGTGCAAAATTGCTATCGTCTTCAGGGAAACAGGCAAGGGGCGTAGAGGAGTCATCAACACTCTCTACAGCAAGGGAAGCTGGGCAGTCAGTTGCAGGCCCTTCCGAGGAGCTTGGATCTGATCAGCAGCGTGCTCTTGAAGCCCAAACTAATGCTGATTCCAAGGCTGATGCAGTCCAAGTGTTATACACTGAGCCTTGGGAGGAGTCTAAAGAGGTTGACCTCCACGCCCACATGGAGCGTTGGCTGCAGCTCAAGCAGCAACGCCGTGTTCAGGGGAGCGTGGAACTGACTTTCTTTAAACTACTCGTTAACCGCCGATACATCCGTGTGCTGATTGACAGTGGTTTCACCACTAATTTTTTTCTCCGAACAGGATTCGTAAGGCGGGCCTGGGTATGAAGCAAGTGGAACCGCAGAACCCTTGCCGGACTCAGGTGGGCAACCAAGAGGTTGTCACTTCCACTCATGCTGTCAAAGGTGTGCACATCACCTTTGACAAAGACCGCACTGTCACACGAGTTGAATTTCTATGTCCTGGATAAGTGTCCTTTCGACGCGGTCATTGGCTTGGGCTGGCTAAAGGCTCATTGCCTAAGGACCACGTGGGCGGACAATCAGTTCGTGGTACTTGATGCCAAGGGGAACGAGCATACCGTCTTATTAGATGAGACGCGCGAGTCCCCTGTGACTCTTCTAAGTGCTAACAAATTCTGCAGGTCAGTGCGCAAGCGCAAGGAAGCTGAGTTTGTACATATAGCCCTTGTAAAACCACTCCATGTGCCTTCTGCTTTTGTTGCATTTTCTACCTCGGTAAGTAACTCTACTTCTAATCCATCTACTTCTACTGTGAATAATCCTTCTACTTCTAATCCGGTTGTAATTGCTGTAAATTCTCAGTCTAATTTTCTTTCTCCCGATGAGGATGATCCTCCACCGGAAGTCCCAACAAACATTCGCCAACTATTGGATCGATTCCCTGAAGTTTTGGCCGAACCTCGTGGAGTTCCCGAGCGTCCGGTCAAACACAAAATCGAGATAATAGAGGGGAGTGTTCCTCCAAAGGGCTGCGTCTACCGTATGGGACAAGGCGAGTTGGAGGAGTTGAGACGGCAGATTGATGATATGATTGACCGTGGATGGATTAGGCCCAGTGAGTCTGAATTTGGTGCACCTGTCTTGTTTGTGCCAAAGAAAGGAGGCAAACTTCGGATGTGCATTGACTATCGTGGCCTCAATCGGATCACAAGAAAGAATGCTTACCCTTTGCCTCGCATAAATGATCTGCTAGATGCGGCAGGTGGATGCAAGGTCTTCTCCAAGATTGATCTCAAATCTGGTTACCACCAGACTGAAGTTGATCCGAGTGACCAGCACAAAACTGCATTCAAGACACGCGATGGGATGTATGAGTTCATCGCTATGCCCTTCGGTCTTACGAATGCACCGGCCACCTTTCAGTGCCTCATGGACAAGGTACTTCGCCATCAACTCAACAGGTTTGTGGTTGTGTACCTTGATGATATCTTGATCTTCAGCAAAACCATGGAGGAGCACCTCAAACACCTTGAGGAAGTTTTGCAGGTTCTCAAGGAGGCGCAACTGCACCTCAACTTGGAGAAATCTGAGTTTGGGAGGGACAACGTCATCTATCTTGGGCATCGGTTGTCTGCAAACGGCCTTGAGCCGGAGGCAACC